AGGATCATACAGGCTCCAAATTCCATGAAAATTTACGCGAAAAGGGAGTTTTCCACTTTTGGAGTATGCCCTCTCAGTTATCAATCGCGATTTGATTGAATTCACTGTTAATTAAAAGTGCTTTAAAACATTGTGAAAAAAAAACAAGAGTTAATTATACAGTCTCGTTCCTTCTAGTTTTCGGAATTTTGTAAGGCGACTCTAACTTTTGACTCTGTGGACGAAATCCTGTGGTGTGACCATTCAAATGAAAGCGCCTTGCCTGTACTTTCACATGGTCTTCTTTGTTTTTCAAAATTTACAAAATAAAATTTGGAAATGTGGTCGAAATTTGCCTTTGCCTACATTTGGCAGGAAAAGGAATAAAGATGACAGGTGAAAGCCTGTATTTGGCAGTTACGTAAAACCTAATTACGCATGGACGCCATTAAGCCATAGACACAACACAAAACAAAAAAGATTTCTAAAGGAATGACATATGGCAATTAACAAATCCATAACAATCTTGGCTGGGCCTAGTTAGCAACTGAAGCACAATTTTTTGTCTGCCTTGAACTCTCATCTATTCTCCAACATGAATGTCTCCAAATCTTATAATTGTTTTTTTTTTCTGTATTTTTTTATGTGGATATGTAAGATAGCTTAGTGTTCCAATTCATAGCCTTTACAAAGGCAGCAAGTAGTTTTTCTTACTCTAGACAGCTTTCGCCAAAAAAAAAAATCGCAATTCGATCGCCTGCCTGTGTAAGTAAACCTCAACTCTAAATAACCAATTCGTGCTGGACTAAAAGCACTTTTAATCGGAATCATGTGTGATCGAGCCGAAGGGGAGCGATTACAGAGCAACGATCAAAATCCTAAAACACGCAGCTATAACTCCAAAACTCCGCAGGAATGCCAAACAATAAATGTCATTTAAGCGTTTCTTTCTATGTACATTTTAAATAGAAGATAGATGGTAATTTACAACTGGTGGCCCAAGCAAATTCGTCGAAAAGAAATACGTTGTACGACTGAATTGCCGGCTTTCGAAGGAACCACTAAACTGACGAAGATTTACTTACCAAATGCTCTTAACCAGGTACATGATAAAAACATTGTCGGTTCATCAGTGTACACACCAGCTGAAAATTAAGCATAGTTATCGCGTTATTCTCATTTTCCTAGAGAATGGTCATCCCTTAGGGATTTTAATGTTTCATAACGCATTGCTTCTCTTAAGATTGGTGCCGTTAAAATGATCGATAAACGTCTACTTACTTTTATACCATAATAACGAATGTTGTTTTCAAAATCCAAACAATTGTTTCTTCTGCTTTGTTTTTATTTCTGTACACTTCAGTTTTCTCAGTCTTCAAAACTTCTCTAAATGAAGATAACTCTCTAGTGAATGATGCTGATGAACCAGAGTTCATACTTGAGTTTCTTGTTTGTTTTACTCTGCCACGATTTATACCCTGGCGTTAACAAGCTCAAAGCTGAAAATGAATGATATATTCATCGAGTATCTTATTTTATACCAGACCAAGAGCCATAATCGACCAGACTCGAGACCTAAAAGGAAACTTTGAATTAATCACGGTTTGACCCATAATTTTAAGACAATTATAAGCTAGGAAGAATTGCAAATCACCATGTGACACGACATATTGAAACATTATTTTACACTTAATGGGAAAAATTGTGCCATATTACAGTACACAAATATCTCAGAGCAGGAATCAGACCAACAAAGATGTCTCGTAAGATTGCAAAAGATGGAGAATTCTTGGTTTTTACTTGACGTCACTAAAATTCAAAATAAAGAATTATTGATCCTCTTGAGATTTTACTTCCATGAAGAGCTAAAGCCGCTAAAAACTTGTATTTTCATAAATTTTCACTCCGAGAG